CAACCGAGTTGGTGCATTCTAGCCAGAATCTGTCGGATTTTCTTCGATTCGCGACATCTACAAATTGAGTCTGAAATTACAGACCGTTAGCCGCGCTGCGTTGCTAGCGAAGCTCCGCTGAAATAAATAAATAAAAATAAATCACATTTGCACGTGAAATCAGATTCAAGAGTCGAATATCCCAATGCTTGAGGCTATAGAACGATAAAACAAGGCTTTACCAAACGATCGTTACCGCTGAAGCGTATGCGATAGTTGCCAGTGACGTCGGTCGAGTGTGACATACCAATTTTCATGAAACTTTACCAACACACAATATATAGCACACAATAATAGAGAAAAATGTTCCAATCGCCTGCAGTTATTGCTAGAGGTAGAGCAATGCTGTAAACGAACAGTAAATGAATAAACTAAAAATACGGATGAGTCAAAACGTACACGATACGATGAATACAATGATAGCACGGAGTGAGTGTAGGCCGGTTGGTTTATACGGCGTCCAAATCCAAATCCAATCGCGAGAAAGAAAAATCCAACGAGCCCACGATAGTCGTCACCGATCAAGTCACTGTTCTCTTCGATGGTTAGAACGGGTTTCCACTACATTTCCATAGCCTACCGTTTACCTATTACCCTTCCTTCAGATGAACGAAGAGAGTTCGAAAAAGCAAGTTTAATACCTTTACGTTTTATATTGTGTCGTACGTTTAACGAAGAATTCAGTGGAGATTTACGAGAAATCGCCGTAAGTATGCCTGCGAAAGCAGAAACTTGGAATTTCTCAGATTTAAAAGCATCTTTATATATTTCTTTTTCTATCGTGTAATATTATCGTTACCTTTAATAAGATCCATATAACACGTATGAAACATAAATAATTAACATTTTTATATGTTAATTACATATCATGCGTTTTACACGTCTAATCTAACAATCTAAAACATTTGCTGAATTACGAGAACAAGAGAAATATTTCAAATCAACGTCTGGTCTAAAAGATCTGCCATATTGAAAACAAAATAACGGTGGGTAGCATCGCTTACAAAGTGTTAGTCGTATAATACATCCATAAGTGACCTTCACACACAAAACAGTTGCTCGCACTAATATTCCCACCATTATCCTCGTATTTGTAGCTTCGTATTAGAAGGGACGATTTAGGTATCGTGTTACTTGTTCTACGAATATACGAACGACCTGTCGTACGTTGAGAGTGCAAAATAATTCCTTTCTAATAATATGTATTATAAATTATCTTATTTTCTTACGTTTTACAATGAAATTTCTTAGAAATTCTAAGAAACAATTGCAATTGCGAAATATATTATATTTCGTATAGTTATTTAATATAATTAGCGCGAAAAGAAAGAGACATCGACATTTTCATAATACGCCGAGAAATGCGTAACGCGTAACGAAATGGCAACACTGTAATACTATAATACCATAGTTCTGATAAAAGACAACTTGCAATTTCTATAATACGGCAACGAGTAAAATTTATCGTGAAATTGCACAAATATTAGTATTAATCGTGACAAATATCGTTAGAAGATATAAAGGAAAAGAACGCGTCTAGTTTAAGACACAAAGAAGATAAAAGATCTATTCCTAGCGAGAAATTGTTTACGTATTTTCAATATGTACATTTACAGTAAATAATTGTACAATAATAATTCTCGTAGAATAAGCAACACGATATTTATAAATAATATCTGAATAAAGCTGTTTTAGTCGGGTGCATCTGTTCGGCATGTTTCCTTTGACGAATTTCATCTTGCAAGAGTTACAAGTGAATTAAACGAATTGCTTAAAAATTACAAATTTTTCTCGAATCGTGTAAGCTTAGCTATCGGATATAAAAAGTCCGGGCAGATATACGGCGAAATGTGCTAACCGGGGGGCAGAGTCAAGTGCACGGATATCTAATAATTTCCGAAACCAATTTTGGCCATATTTGCTTCCTTCCCTCCTGCTTCCATCCTATTTGCTTTTTTATACGAAATCTCTCTCGAAAACTATGTGCGATATGGAAAAATATGTTATACGTTATATGTTAATACGACGTCAACTAATATCTCGCTAGTTTGGAAACGCGCTGGACCGAATGTCAGCTAGAAAAATACGTACACAGGAGGTTTCAAAGGCATCGCAAGATCAAATATACAAGATTATAGCACGTCTACCTCGGTATCGAGCAAACCGTTGGCCCGAAACATTTTTTCATATCGTTCGTGTTTTTCGAGATACTACAGTGGCCCGAGACAGACTAAACACGCTATATATCAAGAAGCTCGGCTATTAAATAATATTTTATATTATTGTATATAATATTAATTATTATATTATTATATTATATTACCATACTAATTAATATACTATATTATATTAATTATTATATTACTATATTATATATAATATATATTATTATAATATTATTATATATAATTATATGAATAATATTTTATTAAATAGTTTACGATTATGGCTTGAAATAACGTTAGCGGTCCTTGTGTCAGTTTAGAAGAACCAACTTCATCTCATGTACAATTTAGAAGTTGAGCAGCCCGAAAACAAACAGTTTGCAAAATAGATGTTATTTCTGCGTGTCACGATGTTTCATTAGCAGAGCTGTAGCAATGATAAACAGGAAGATCATCGCAGATCGTTTCGATTTAATTACATCCTGTCAGAAATAAGCAAGTGGCCGGATACTTTTCAATGATGCTGTATTTCTGCCACTAATGATAAATAATTATATCTTACGATTTTTATGGAAGAGAAAACACAACGTTGCCGAATTGTTCAACTAGGCTGTGTCACAACTTTATCGACTATATTGTTGATATAAATATATATACGATGAGTCTCGTCATCAAAAGTATATATATACACATGTATACACTCTTTAAACTTAATAAATCATAATAAGAATGTTAGCTCCGTGAATGAAGAAAAAAGAAGAAAACAAAGATATAGAATAGAGCGTTACAAATATTACATACACCTGTTATATACAGATATAACAGATATGAAATCACAAAAATAGTAGCCTCAACGTCGAAGTAGTATCTTGTAGATACTACGTAAGCGTCAATAACGTGCTGTCTCCTTGTAGTTGGAAAAATTAAACGTTACGTCGATGTAATTCTGTTCCAATATCTTTTCCAGTTAAACAGTGTAATTTATTTAATTGCTTCTTTAGGAATACATGCTAATAATAATTGCATCGATATACAAGTAGAATAATCTTCTGATAAGTGCGTTTTCAGTTTCTTTGATAAGCTTGTAACAAAAAACTCGACGGATGTACGTAGACTTTCGTGATTGACCATATAAATTGTAATATATAAAAGGTACGTCGTACTTCCATTATGTGAAACATAATAAATAACAAAAATGTGTTTGCCGAATGCTCGTCTAACAAATACACAAGCGCGAAAATACAGACGTCTAAACAACTCGTATTACTCGCTATATCTATAATTAAATCTTAAATATAACGTAGTAATGATGAAAAAATAAGTTAATTAAGTTACAAAGTGTTTGAAACACTACATACGTAGAATACATTTGCAAACAAATATACTCAGTGTTAGTGTTGATCAAACGTAATCAGGTACATATAAATTAATATATGTACATATTTAATTCTATTCGTAATATTTAGACTATATTACTTTCAAATATATATATATCGTGTATAAAAGGTGAAAAAAAGATAAAAGAATCTTAAAAACAATATAAAATGTTAAATTTCTAAGTTTAAGTTATAAATACGGTAATTTAATTTTTAAGTTAATTTTCTTACAGTATATTCTTTTTTCAATATTTGATGAAAGTAACATTTTGACTTTAATCTATAGTGGAATTAAAAATACATAAAGTTAACGCATATATACACATATGTATGTGCATATGCGTACAATGAATGTACAGCGTACCTCATTCACACACTTATCATTCTTCTATATTTGTTAATAAGCTGTTGGAAATTATCAAAAGATTAAAAGTGTTTCGGACAACATCTATTTGAAATATATATACAACTTCCCTGAATGACCGTCTCATACGCATACATTCTTTCTTATTAATCATAATGTAAAATAATAAAGCAAAAATGAAAAAATGCAGTGGTAGTTGATATCAGAGTGTCTAATGCCAAAAATATACGTATGTAGTTATTAAAGTAGTATTCTATAATATTGTAACGTTCTTGTCGATACGCGTGCACGTGGTCTTGCGGACCAAGAAAGCCATCGATACTATTGTATACGTGTGTACCTAATACATACATACGCACATATACAAGTTACCTACACGGTAGACAGTACGAGTGAAATATCAATGTAAATACGTTTCGTAATTCGAGTCAGTTGTCATTCGGCAATATACCGTAACCGTACCGAAACTACATTCAGTTTACTGAAAAATTACATAATATAATGAAATCTTGGACTTAAAATATTATAACCGACAAGATCGAAAATGTCATCGCTCCGCAATAAAGAATCTTTTAACAGCAAGATACGACATCTTTATCTAATTATACTACTATACTGCTATGTTTTTAGTAAATGACTATATAGGATACAAAAGACATTGTTGATCTTATAAAGCACAAGTACGAGTTTATAAAGCACAAGTACGAAACCGCTAAATCTCTCGCATAATTAAAAAATTGTTTTACATCGAGTTAGCTCGTCAAGTCGTGATTAACAGGAAAAAGAATTTTTGAATGAACAAACGGTTGTAGCGGTCATTTTCTGGGATCGATCGAAATGCTTGTTTCGCTGGAATCGAGACACTGGCCTCTATGGAAAATCTTTTCGACTCTTTACATACGTATATTTTAGGCGTTCTCAAGCCGGTAAAAACCCTCGGCTTGTTTGAAGCTGAACGATCGTTACCGGCAACAAGGAAGAAAAGGGGTAAAAGCGTGTATACAAGCACCGTCAATAGTTGACTAATGTATGGTGAATAGTTAACCAGTATCTCACCTGAAAGTCGCAGTGGATAATTTCGGCGTCGTCTAGAAGTCGAATAGTGGCGCGATGCACCACCGTAACGTCACTTTTACTACCAAATTTCAACATTTCTGCCCTCAAGTCGCCACCCGAATTATCCCCCCGACCCTCATCGTCTCCTGCCCCACAGCACCACACACTGCCAGCTAATTACTTTCGATTCACGTTATTCTTGCCGTAAATGGTTATAACTGTCGCTGACACGCGACTTTTCAGTAATTTTTTCGTCAAGTCGATATAACGCACGATGACACTACTCAACGAACGACACATAATCGTAGTAGAATAGCAAACTTTCTGTCAACCGGTCCCGTCTTCTGACCTACTGTTGCAATGATGCCATGTTTTCAACTCACGTAACAAACCCAATGTTGCCGTTCGGAAATACACGAATTGCGTAATACGATTGGTCCATAGCTAGACTATGGCGGGAATTTAAAACGTCAAATCACGAATAACCGGTGTTTGCGTTCTTTTAACTACGTTTATAAATAGAACAAATTATCCAACGCGTGTTAACGAATATACTATTCTTTTTTGTTTGCATTTAATCTTTGAATAAAATAAAATATAGCTTATCTTTGTCGATGAACCTGTTCCATCATTATTAAAAATGGTTAATGGTTGTTAATTGGACATTACATATAGTTAATAGTCCTGTTAACTAGTGCGTAATGTACGTCTTATTCTAATAAAACTCGTAAATAGTAAAAAATATTAACTGTTGGTGTAAACCATTCGCACTTAATGCGGTACTGATTTTTGTGAGAGAAAGAAGAGAAAATAAGTGCATTTAGTGACATTTAAGATATTCGATAACTGTATAGCATTAACTATAAAACAATTTCATTTCTACCAGAATATACCAACATTGAGTAAAACAATTCATTTTTTCCATAATCGTGTTCTGATTGTCGAATATCGTTCTTATCGAAACGTTGCTTGTGTACAAAGTTACAGTGGCTGCCCATAGAGGGCACTAAAGGATGAATGACTTGTGTATTAAAGTAGTAAATCGAAATATGGTGGGGGTAAACTAGGGGCATTGAACAAAGGTTGACTGCGTTGGTCGAGGATTCGGCGGCGCATTCACGACTTAAACATGGCAGCGGCTACCAGCGTTGTCGTACTCGACAGAGGCAACAATACCACCTGCACGATCAATTTACACGGTGTGTGCGCGCGTGCAGATTGCTACAAACCATTAGATTTACGAGTTGACTATCGAGTTGTATTAAAATCTTCTTGACATAACGTGTAACAATACAAGCATATACGACACACATACCGACATACACACACGACACGCGCGACCCACACACACGACACACATACACAACACACGCACACACGACACATACACACACTTGTCGAATCATCTTTACGCCGAAAGGCAATATTCCACATCATCATGAGGTGTTGCTAAAAAAATTTCGACAGAAACTGATCGCGTAGGAACACAGTTTGAAAGAACGTGCCGTAAGATATATTGGCAACGTAACGCTCCCAGATCTGTGTCGTATTCTTATATTTTGTTCAAGAGGAAGACAAAGTGTGTGCGCGCCTTTACTCAAGCCTAACCTCCAGTTTTTGTGCTGTTTTCATACGTGTATCGTGTATCCACTAATTTATACATGTCTACGTTGTTATTAAACGTTTGCAGTCCAATTACAAGTTTAAATTGCCATCGCAATCAATTTTGCCGTGTATTTTCATACATTAAATGCATTTCGACATTTCTTTTAAAGTGGCTGTTTATTCGCGGCATCGTCATTGTAAACACACCGTACGTTTTCCTCAAATTTTTGAATATGAATGACATTTAGCTAAATGACAAACGTACACTTCAATTCTATTCGAACTAACAGTAGAAAGTTTATTATTGTCGTGAACGACAGCAAAGAAGATGTTAAATTAAGATTTTGATCGAAATTTTTCATTTTGCAGGAGCTACTGTGGTATCCTGGAGAGTAAATAATCAAGAACAACTGTTTGTCAGGTAAGTCATCGTTTCTGTGTACTATTTATGTCAATAGAAGTAGCTTGCTGTTACGATTAATTACACGTACAATGGAACGCGCGAGCGACCTTACCGTATTTATATAATTAATAAAATATAAATTTACATATCTACAAATGATTTTATGTATATCTCTTTTATGTATATATTTCCGTAGGACATTTGTCCTATCAGACTTGTTTGCAACAAATGACAATATTCATTGTCCTTTCGATAAGTTTACGTCGATACTATATATAATGGATATCTAACGTCCTTTTGACGTTACAGTTTATGTAATGAAAATTGAATAATTTTTAATGCAAAATATTGACTACAAGTGAATTACAAGTATAACAATAATTTATAATTTATCTGATTAAAGAGATGTAGTTAGTACCCAAAGTTATTGGGTAGTACCAGATATTCTTTTTTAAAAAATTCAGAATTTTACGTATATATCATCGAGGAACATTGAATTTTATTATAGATGTTACAGAGAATTATGATACGTTAATATAGTGACTCGTTTTGGCACCGTTAAATTTCCCATAGATGCATAAAAATCGACACTCTACTTATTAGACAAGACAAACACATACATCTTATGAAACACAAATATTATAAAAATATTAACGTTCTTGGCGGAAGAGCAGATGTACCGTGGTATTTTTTTCTCTAATTAAAGACAACAGTAACCTTTTTTAAATTTAATCAAACTTTGAAACGAATCTGTCTCGAAACTTTCCTTTCTCTGACTATTTAGAAGAATTTTATAGGTTAACTTTATAAATCTTCCCAATAATAGGGTTGGGCTGTGTCAAAATTGAACAAGTGATACAAGGGCGAATAAAAGAAAGATTAAATTTGATACATTACGGATCTTTTGTAACTTTTGCATTAAAAAGCGTAGTTTTATTCTTCTTATTTTATGAACTTATAACATATATAATATGTAATATAAGCTATATGTAAAGTATACGTTCCATTTTATGTAAAATCTTTAAGAAAGCTTAGATCCGCAAAATGCTAGCAAAATATCGATGTTTCTTTTACAGTGTTTATTAAAATCACTTAATTTTTAATATTTTTAATATTTTCGATGATTAATATATTATATTAATATTTCGACGATTTTTAATATTTTCCGTTTATTATATAATATATACGTGTATATAATACGTACAAAAGTGTATATCGTAATAATTTTTAAACATTTTAAAATAAGACGGAATGAAAACGTTACGTGACGGAACAAAGTGTGTAGAAACTTGTAAAGTTGCAAATTAATTTGACGAGGTTCGTCGATATTATGAATACGCTGTATATCGTCAAGTTGGCGAAAATAACGTGCAGCTTTTAGCTCGTCTAAACAGGACAATCCTTGTCAAAGCGATGATTATTGGGAAAAATGATGTAACTAGACGACAGAAAAATCTACAAAGTATGATTCATTGGGTTCTTAAAACCCACTTACTTGCGACGGACAGGCATGGCGATAGAAACTATATCGTTTAAAAAGAAATAGATTGTAACCGTTCCTTAGTTTGTTAAAAATACTGAGAAAATATATTGTTTCGACGGAGGAAGATAAAATATTAACGTTAATGTTCTTGCAACATTCATTTTATACGTGCTATGAAAAGCTTAGGAAACTTATTTATGGAAAACACAGAAAATTAAACCGTTTGTCCAACTAAATTGTAATAGACGAGAAGCAGATAACATACATGTGTTTGTGGGTAAAGTCATCGTATTAGGCAAGACACGCGTTGCAATAGAACGGACAAGTATTTTTAGTTAATCAGAGGCGCGTGACAAATTTCGTTCGTCTATGTATATGCATCGTTACCGTATAACCTTTCAATGCGCACACCAGTTACACGAGTAAGGTTTTAACGAGTGGGAGAAATATTATCGAAGGAAAATAGCGCGAGTATAGTAGAAACGACAGCATGCAAGACATGCGTGCACACCTGCTGTGAAAGAGCCGCTTAAAAGCGCGGTGCCCGTGACGATCGCTTTAAAAGCAGCAGTCCGAGAGCAGACGATGAAAAAACTGACGAAGCGAAGGCAAGGGCGCTCTGGACCAGTAGGTATATACCTTTTACACGAAGTTCAGGGCCCCTCGCCAGTTGCTAGTCATCGGTTCTTCCGACTTTAAAGGTGCTGTCAGGACCGCTTGTTTCTGTCCCTTTCTCCTATTCTTAAATACCAATCAATCGCCCTTCAAATATGCGTCGAAGGAACACGCAACAGAAAATAAATAAAGATAAAATCATTTCACAAGCGCATAAACGATATAATTTGCTTACGTTTCGGTTGAAATTCAAAAAGAGGTGCATCAGTTTGTAATACTGGAATATGGTGAAAATTTCTAAGGACAGATGCTACAAATATTTGATTTGGCGTTCTTATGTTTATTTAGTCAAGGGATGTATACATACGTATATAAAAAGTCAAAATTCTAAATGACAGCGAAAACTTCCATAACAAAGAGAGCCGACAAGCACGCTAGTAATTTACTCCAATTCCCGTGGAAACAGCTATAAAAGTTACATCGGTATGTCCGGTTTGATACGAATCTCTTTGTACGAGACGCGTCTAAGAAATACGTTCTTGTATAGTCGTAACATTCACGTATCTCCTTGTGTCTTTACATGTACATGTTCTTCAACTATCTACAAATACTCTGTTTATTATAGGTATTATAATTTTATTATTATTATTATCGTGTCAGCATTATTATTCTATTTGAAATTTATAAATATTTTTCGCTGTTGTTTGTACGAATATCCTTAAGTAAAGTCATTTATATATATATATATATATATATATATATATATATATATATATATATATATATATATATATATATATATATATATATATATATATATATATATATATATATATATATATATATATATATATATATATATATATATATATATATATATATATATATATATATATATATATATATATATATATATATATATATATATATATATATATATATATATATATATATATATATATATATATATATATATATATATATATATATATATATATATATATATATATATATATATATATATATATATATATATATATATATATATATATATATATATATATATATATATATATATATATATATATATATATATATATATATATATATATATATATATATATATATATATATATATATATATATATATATATATATATATATATATATATATATATATATATATATATATATATCGATTTAAGGTAGATTTTCTTTTATCGTTATCGATAAATAGACTAAATTTTGATACTATTAGTTTGATAAGTTAACGAATCGTCATTAACGAGTGTAACGATTAAGTACGAAAATTTCTAATTCAATTTAAATATAAACGTCTATATAAATGCCAAATGTAATATCATTTCAATTATAGATGTATACAATTAATTATAACCTATAACATTTTTCTGTTGTAATCGACGATATACAGTATATTTTTTATTTTACGTAAATATTCCTGGTAATTTGTAATTTGAATAGGAACTGAAGTATGGTTATGCCACAGTATCATCGTTTTGCTACGAGACAGAAAAACATAACCTATATTATATGGCCGTATACCGGAACCTTCCGTATCCGAATTAACGCGTAACTGTTAGGATAATACAATACCCGTTTTTTTTTATTATTATTACTCTCTCTCTCTATATACATATATTTGAAAATTCATAATACAAGAACAATTACAAAGAAAACGATAGAACGTAAACGTAATATTTTTCAAATTATCTATAGGTTCTACATTTTGTTTATAGCTAAATTAAAATTTTGTCGGTACATCGAACAAAGTAGAATCATATTCTGTCTTGTGTCTCGAACCATCTAATCATAAGTCCTCTCGCTGACGCCATACACATCTCAAAATACAAAGGCATTTCATCGTAATCTTCTCTTTTTTACCACAAAGACTTAAAACGTCGATGATAATATATATCCAGGAGATTACAAGCAAATGAGATGTTTTCTTTTTCTTATTAAGCTTATGAAATCTCAATTAAGGTTTATTCGTTACATCCGTTACATATCGTTGTATGAATAACAGGCATGTCAAAACAGCACTATATTCCTCTATACTTTTCAACTTGAAATCCGTAACTGTTAAGCGTTTTGTTCCGAAAGAAGCTGTGATGTGTTCCCCGATTCGTAGACATCGCGGAGATTCGGTTGAGTTTCTAGACCGTTTAGCAATATTCTGTTAAATCTCGCGATTTATTAACTATATTTCATCGTTTGTATTCCGAGATCGTAGTGGAACACCTCGTTCGCCACATACTATAGTATATATGCGATAATTCTTAAAGGCCCCGGTTCACATCGAAACACGTTGCGACGCACGGATCGTCGACACGTCGGTTTCTCACGATGCATATTACGAGCATAGATCCGTATCAGTGAATCCATATCGAAACCAATCGGGAATTCTCCTCAATTTTGTATTTTTTATGATCAACGTGGTCGCTGATATAAATTAACGACAATAACGTTAGAGTTGGAAAGTAATGGAATATTTTGAAACATGTGTTTCAACGTTGGTATCGTACCACGAATTGACACAAATTTCACGAAAGCAGAGTACATCGCAGCGCGTTTCAAGGGTGTAGAGCGAGATTTAACGTTTCAGACTTTGTATTCATTTCAAAGTAAATGGCGCAAGTATCAACTCTCGTCCACTTGCGAGAAATCCTCTCGCAACTCGCGATAGCTTTATCTCTCAACCTTTACTCGCTTACCTTTAGCCTGAAATCTTTCTAATATATATATATATACTCGATATCTATATTCTGTATCTATATTCGAGCTAATGTCGTATTCCACGGTTGTTCCACGGCGGTCCGGCTTAAAAAACAAGATATGAAAACAAATGAGATGAAGGGAACGGAATTATCCAAAGAGATCGATATGTCTCGGTGAAATGTCT